ATTTTGAAAAGTCAAATCGGCCCCAAAACTAGTCAAATGGGCCTCAAAACAAGTCAAATCGGCCCTAAAGATATTTTTGTGAAACGTCCTATTTTGGTAAAATTAAGGTTATTAACCGAAAATTGCAAGGTTATTTACTGAAATTGCACTTTAACATAAAATTGTTTCCTGGAATGTGAACGGACTTAGTCGCAAGATACATGACCCAGATTTTATTAATATTCTAAATAGTTATGATATAATTTTACTACAGGAAACTTGGTTACACAAAGACTCTAACATTAATTTAGAACACATTACAGGTTATTTAAGTGATCATTTATATGGTAATAAGTCAATGAACACTACAAAAGGCCGCTATAGTGGAGGTTTATCTCTGTACTATAAGGAACATTTGCGATCTAAAATAAACATTATTCATAAAAATCAAATTGGTATAATGTGGATAAAAATTTCTAAGTATCTTTTTAATTTTGATGAAGATATTTTGTTATGTAATACTTATGTTCTACCTAGTTGCTCTCCTTTGCTAAGTTCTTTTGATATTGATATGTTTGATCAATTAGAGTCTGATATTGAGACATATAATTCACTTGGTAAAATATTTTTGCTAGGCGATCTAAATGCAAGAACCTCAACATTATCTGATGTTTTGGAAACTGATAATTATTTACTTAATCAAATTGATCGGACAGACTTAGACATAAATTTAGTAGACCGTGAAAATGTTGACCACGTGATAGATGCATATGGACGTCGTCTGCTTGATATGTGTAAAACAACTAGTCTTCGCATTTGTAACGGTCGCTTACATAACGATATTCACGGGGACTTTACATTCCATTCGCACAATGGATCAAGTACAGTCGATTATTTGTTACTCAAGAGTGAAAATTTTCATATTGTTAATAACTTTCAAGTCAATGTTATGACAGAGTTTTCCGATCACTGTAGTATTTCATTTCAAATCTTTTTATGAAACCAAAATGAGTCGATAGAAAACACATATATAGTGGGACGCGTCTAAAATTGAAGATTTTAAATTGAGACTGAATCAAGATGAGAATGTCATTAGACAATTAGAATCAAGTGTAGAGAACTTAGAAAATAATGTTAATATTGTTTTATCAAATTTTATTACATTAATTCATACTTCTGCAAAAGATGTTTTTAGTAAAAAGAGAATAGTAAAAAACAATTCATTTCAAAAGAAGCAAGATTGGTTTAATAACGTCTGCTATAGTGCACGTAAGGCTTTTAATAACGCGAGGAATAACTATCTTAAACGTAAAACGAATGAAAACAAAATGTCTTTTCTATCAGCCAAAATTAATTATTGTAAGGTCAAAAAGACGGAAAAGAGAAAGTTTCAAAGTTTGCAAAAACATAAAATTTCGGAGATGGCAAGAAATAATCCAAAGAAATTTTGGTCGAATGTTAAACGACAATATAAAAAACCCAATAGTAAAGCACAAAGTTTATCTGTAGACGACCTTTATAGTCATTTTAAAGAACTATTTGGCTCAAATCAAAATAACTTGCTAAATGAAAACGTAAATACAAATAATTTCGACCAGTTTCTAGACAAAGAGATAACTTATGATGAACTAAAAAATGCTACGTTTTCTCAAAATAATAACAAAAGTGCAGGCCTTGATGAAATTATTGCTGAAATATATAAACATTCGTTTGAAGTAACATCTCCATTCACACTTAAATTATTTAATCGTTTATTTTGTACTGGAGAATATCCAACAACATGGGGAGAGGGTATCATTTCACCAATATTCAAGGGAGGTAATATTGAGGACCCAAAAAATTATAGGGGAGTAACTCTCATTAATGTGATGGCTAAAATATACTCGCAAGTTTTGATGAATAGACTTACAAGTTGGACACAGGAAAAAACTTTAATATTAAACAACCAATTTGGGTTCCAAAAAGGAAAATCCACTACTGATTGTATATTTTTATTTCACTCTATTATTGCAAAAACCTTAAATTCTAAGCAAAAACTTTATAGTGTCTTTATAGACTTCGAAAAATGTTTTGATCGTATAGATAGAAATTTCTTATGGAAAAAATTATTAAGTTATCAAGTTAGTTCAAAATTTGTTACAGCTCTAGAGTCAATGTATAATATCGTTAAACAATGTGTTAGATATAATGGTAAAATGTCGGAATTTTTCAACTCGTTTATAGGATTGAAACAGGGAGACCCGAGCTCAAGCCTGATGTTTCTACTGTTCGTTAATGATATATTACAAAATATTGATACTAATTTAGAAGGAATATTTACAATAAATGAACTTAAGTTTTTCCTCTTGATGTTCGCTGATGACGCGGCATTATTTGCGCACTCACCCGAAACACTGCAGTCTATGCTAAATGACCTTAACCGGTACTGTCGTACGTGGGGACTAACAATCAATACGAACAAAACGAAAGTTATGGTATTTGAGCGTGGTCGACATACTCAGTGTAATATATTTCTTAATAATACACAGCAAGAATTAGTCCCATCATTTAAGTATTTAGGAACGCATCTCTTCAAAAATGGATCGTGGTATAGAACACAAATTAGAATTACATTCATCATTTGCGCTCCATAACCAATTTATAGTTTTTAATCAAATTGAATTACCTTTGAAAGAAAAATTTCGTCTGTTCGACAGTTTAGTAGGTTCTATATTAAATTATAATGCATCAGTCTGGGGGTATCATGATGGCAACCACATTGAACAAATACATTGTAAATTCCTTCGAAAATTGTTATGTGTAAAACGATCGACAAATCTATACGGCTTGTATGGTGAACTTGGGCGATATCCCATGAAAACAGCACAGAAATTGATAATTATCAAATATTGGATACAAGTTTTGAAATCAAACAACCCATTAATTATAAATACATACGAAATGTTGAAAAACGACACAAACAATGGTAACTCATACAACGGTCTTAATTGGGCACCTCATATTAAAATTTTGCTTGAAAAAATAGGATTAGGAAATTTGTGGCTTTCTCAGAATTCCAATGATATCAGTTATGTTATTATTAAGCAGCGAATATTAGATATCTTTAAGCAATCGTGGTATACTACAATTAACAATTCTAATAGGTTATCGCACTATTGTTTATTCAAACACGAATTTGAAACAGAGAAGTACCTGCAGTTAAACATGGACACTAAATATAAAACTACAATTACAAAGTTTAGATTATATACAAATAATTTAGCCATTGAAACTGGACGATATAACAATACTGACCGACAACAACGATACTGTACTCAATGTAATATGAATATGATTGAAGATCCTTATCATTTTTTACTTGTTTGTCCTAAATACAGACAGTTACGAATCAAAACTTTCACCCCGTATTTTTACAGATGGCAATCTATTCAAAAGTTCACTACTTTAATGTCAACAGATTCTATAAGATCAATTTACAAATTAGGTCGATTTTTATATTTGGCTTTCAGAGAAAGACAATGATACCATTAAGAAACTAGACTTAAAAATGTTTGTTAAATCTAAATTGTTAAACTTTTGTTCTTCTGGTAAAGTTTGTATGCACCACTATACATGTTTATATTTGTATGGCTATAAATATTGTTTGTATTTAATGCCAATAAAATATTCTGTTCTATTCATAAACACACCAATTAAAAATAATTCATTTAAAAATTCAAACAGCTTTGATGCTAGTGATAATTGTTATTAATGTGCTATGGTTGTTGATTGATTACAATACATGTCTTTAATCATTTCAGTTATTGTCTCAAATTACCATGCATTCAATTCGGCGATTTTAACAACTTTACCGGTAAGTGTCTTTATTGACAAAACTTATCAGGGTGAAATATTTGCCATAGAAAAAAACAACACATTTTTATTTCTAAATTCAATTTTTTTAAAGAGTATATTCATTAGTAATATACATTTGTATACAATGTATTTGAACATAGGCTAGTATAATGATGATTGGCTGATAATTGATCATGAAAAATGTATGATACAATATAAGTATGATTCATATTAATTTCTAATTTGTATAATATCATTTAAATAAATATACATCTATATTATAATTTTGACTTTTTAATACTTTTATTAAATTTTTATGCTTGTATCACTCGTGAGAAAAAACTATTAGCAACGGCACTGTTGAAAAAGAGTTCAAGCTTATATACCTACCAGGGGTGTTGGGACAAGAAGCAGAGTAACAGTGATAGGAAATGGCAATAATTCGTATGAAAAACCCTCATGTGCCTCATACAGTTACATGTTTACTGTTTCATATGTTTATGGTACATTGAAGATAAATGTAAAAATTGTTATACTCAGACAATATCATATGTTTTGTTCTTTTTTCTTTGTATTCCATGGTATGTCATTAGGTATACCCATCCACACAATTGGTTTTATACATTTTCCTATCATTGTGTTTTGAACCAAAATATACCCAAATACTGTACAGTACAGTACCATTAAAGCTATATCAAATTTTCTAAAAAAATAATACGATGGACACTTGTTTGAAATTTCAACAAAATTATACCCTAAAAATATGTATGAAATTTCAACAAAAATATACCCTAAAAATTTAAATGCAGACAACAAATATTATCATATCTTTATTTTAATTTGCAAGTATATTCAGTAATGAACCTAGATAAGCAAATGTCACATGTTTATTTTCTTACAACATCTGAACTGCCAATTTTAATAGAATAAATGAAAGTTATAGCTGACTAAGTCATATTATTTTATTAATATTAACTCTTTTTCACATTATAATCTGTGTTTTATATAAACAAAAATTGGATGTATTTGAGTATTTCGTGCCGCCGTTATTTCACTGAATGGTTATGATGTCACTTTAATGTTTCAGTCTTTTTTTAAGCATGTTATGGGTTCGATATATCTGAATATTACTTGTACGAGTTTCTACTCGATTTTGGAATTAATCAAGAATTTCACTATATTCGAAAATCGAGCAGGTTAGTTAAGAATAAAGAATATTGTTCCATCGAGGTATTTCAGAATTTAATCGATTACCTCATTTCATGTACAAACATGGCGGACACGAGCTCTCTACTCACCGTTGGTGGTGACAGAACAACAGGCCAGTCTGTTCGAACACAAAATGGTATGTTTAAATTTTAGATCCTAACCGTTCAATATTTTTCTATTTTATCTTTTAAAGCTTTATTTCCTTCAATTTCCGTTGGTTTTTGTTCAATTATCAGATGCGGCTCTAAACACATGGTCGAGAAGCTTCCACTGCTGTTACTGGGTGGGTGGGGAGTGGTAAACAAATACTTTTAGTACCAGGGGTGCAAAGATAGGCTTGAACCCGTGTTATGATATATTACGATATAGGCGACGTATATTGCAGTATATTTTCGATACACTGATAATGAGAAACTGTAGTCCATTTTTTGTTAGGTTTTAATAAAAAAGCCCAAATTTTACTATGAAAAAATCAAATGCATAGAGGCTATATCCTGGATTAGACCCCGGGTTCTAAACCAGGAGTATATATAAGGTTCATTCCGTTTTCTTTAGTGTATTATATGCAAGTTTTACTCCTGAAAAATACATAGGGGTCTAAACCAGGAGATTGCCGCTTATTCCATCATGAAAAAAGACAACAGCTCTGATCTTTAATTTCATTTGCTTGTCGTGTTCAGCTACAGGTATAACTTCTTAAAGCACCCTTTTCTTATTGAAATTTGTATGATATAATTATATTCTTTGTATGATATATATAAGAATTAGATTTATGTATTTTTGGTTTCAGTCATGGCAGCATCCTCCATTGCCAACATTGTTAAAAGTAGTCTTGGACCAGTTGGGCTTGACAAGATGCTGGTGGATGATGTTGGGGTAAATATAAAAAGACTTATTTGATGGCCACTAAAATGATATTTATAAGGCCATCCACTTAAATCTGTTTTGCAGATGCTATTTTTTAATGTAATGTCAAGAAAGGCATTTTTAGCTCGACTATTCGATAAGAATAAGTAGAGCTATTGCAGTCACCCGAGCGTCGGCGTCGGCGTAACCACTTATGTTAAAGTTTTTGTAATAGTTCAAATATTTTCAAAGTCCATTGACATATGGCTTTGAAACTTTGCACACTTGTTCACCATCATGAGCCCAACCTGTAGACAGGAGGAGATAACTCTATCAAGCATTTTGACAGAATTATGCCCCTTTTTCGACTTAGAATTTACGTTAAAGTTTTTGTAATAGTTCAAATATTTTCAAAGTTCCATTTGACATATGGCTTTGAAACTTTGCACACTTGTTCACCATCATGACCCCAACCTGTAGACAGGAGGAGGTAACTCTATCAAGCATTTTGACAGAATTATGCCCCTTTTTCGACTTAGAATTTACGTTAAAGTTTTTTGTAATAGTTCAAAATATTTTCAAAGTCCATTGACATATGGCTTTGAAACTTTGCCACACTTGTTCACCATCATGAGCCCAACCTGTAGACAGGAGGAGGTAACTCTATCAAGCATTTTGACAGAATTATGCCCCTTTTTTCGACTTAGAATTTACGTTAAAGTTTTTGTAATAGTTCAAATATTTTCAAAGTCCATTGACATATGGCTTTGAAACTTTGCACACTTGTTCACCATCATGACCCCAACCTGTAGACAGGAGGAGGTAACTCTATCAAGCATTTTGACAGAATTATGCCCCTTTTTCGACTTAGAATTTACGTTAAAGTTTTTGTAATAGTTCAAATATTTTCAAAGTCCATTGACATATGGCTTTGAAACTTTGCACACTTGTTCACCATCATGACCCCAACCTGTAAACAGGAGGAGGTAACTGTATCAAGCATTTTTTTTACTATCAAGCACTAAGAATAGTCGAGCGTTGCTGTCCTACCGACAGCTCTTGTTTCTATGCTGATAAGAATAAGAATAATGCTGGTATCCAGGGCCCAAACACCATTTTTGGGGAAGGGACCTCAGCCTTTTCTTGGGAAAAATATGCGTGATTTTGGCATACTTTGGCAAAAGAGGTCTCAAATCAAATTTAACACAAACTTTTAACAAGTTCTTCAAAATAGAAAAGCAAAAAGCATTGAGAATTACTAATAATGCAGTAAAAGACCTTAATTCAACACCATCATTTAATTTTGTTCTAAATTTTATGGGAAATTTCAAAAGACTGGAAAATTTTGAGGATCAAACTGGGGAAAAAAGAGGCTAGTTTAGTTGGGGAAGCAGCCTATATTCGGCCTCTACAAAGAAGGGTTTTTTGGCCCTGGTATCATATATCATCACTAAGTTTTGATTAAGTGCAACAGTATGACTTAAAACCGACACCATTGAAAATGAAGAAAATGAGTATTAGAAATGAAATTACGGTTACCAATTTGCAGGATGTGACTATAACAAATGATGGTGCAACAATATTGAAGTTGCTTGAAGTAGAACATCCAGCAGCCAAAGTGTTGGTAGAGCTTGCTGATTTACAGGACCAAGAGGTTGGAGATGGTACAACATCAGTTGTAAGTTCTTGCATTATATATGGCTTACCATTAATTTAAAGTTTCAAGCTAGTCCAAGTTAGTATTGTAGGGCAGTGTTTCTGCCAGAGCGCGTTTTTGCGTTTTTGGCGCACTATTTTCAGCCATGACGCAATGAAATTTAGTTAGTGCGTATTTTGTGACGCAAGAATTTCACCGTCGCTGATTTCAACACAAGTCAGATATACAGACTATAAACCGTCAATTCAGTATAAAAATGTACGGAATGTTTACCGTGGGTTCCACTATAATTTTAATGAGAAATGAAATTTACCGGGTCCGTGGTCCGGCATTTAGCCAATTTCAACTAGTTAATAAACGCTTGCATTTATACGTTACTGCATATATTGAAAGCGCCCAGACAAAATTATTTATTTTGTTGTCGTCATATTCTGCGAACGAATAACTGTCTGCTGGAAAATGCAGTCTGCGTATATGTTAGTGTTCATCTGTGCTGTTCTACAGAAATTAGAAACTTCGAAGGGAGCGATAGCGACAGGAGAATGTTTTCTAATTTCTGTAAAACAGCTAAGGATGAACACTAACATATTTAGTGTCAAGCTTTATTTGGCCCTTGATTACGTCACTAGGCGGTACTATGAAGCACTATGAAAAAATAGAAGGCGACTATGAACGAATTTCAATATAGTATCGACTTTCTTTCTTCTATGAAAATTAACACACATAATTTTTAAGAAATACAGCGTTATTATTGGATGACAAATAATCCAAAATAGCAGAGATTGACCAATTTCTTCACGAAAAATATACAAAATATTGTAAATAAAACTTATAAAGTGTTACCTGTTTTTTTTTTTTTACATTTTTGTTAAATTTATTGGCATGACCCTTATGAATTTGAAATGACCCCTAAAATATCATACAGGGGGTCATAAAAAACCCTCAGAAAATCAGAGCTGGCAGAAACACTGGTAGGGTAAGTCAAAGTTTGGCTTGCTTTTGTGACACTCGTGAATGCTGCAGTACAAAGCCTGGTAAAAAAGACTTGTCCAAGAATGCTTCGAGTTTGACATTAACTTTTTCAACCGCTAGACATTTAGCCCCAGTAGTTCAGAAATTTTACTCAACCTGACTTGTTTTTAACTTACAGACTGAACAGCATGGCAAGAGCTCGTTACACAGTTTGCCAACAACCAATAAGATACTTGCCACCCTTGATTTATTCATAAATTAATAAAATTAGATTTTCAGTTTAGCAGACTTGTCTGCAAATCAATTGATTATACATGTAAACTGTTTAAGGCCTGATTGTGCAAAGTGAAGATGAAAGTAATTTTCTGATGAATTTTCTTACTAGATCAATCAGACCAGTTACATAATTATGGATTTAAAAAACCAAGACCATCCAGTGATTTTTGGTCATATGTTAATGTCTAAATCTGTTGCTGTTGAAAATTTAAATATTATCATTATACAAAATTCACTACTCTCTCACAGATAGAGTTCAGTGTTCACACAGATACAGATAGAGTTCACACAGATATAGACCTTTTTCCAGACTTTCCGAAAGTTAAAAAAAGTGTCAGACATTTGGTCTGACAAACCATGAAAATCTGTCAGACGGAATGAAATTAATCAAAATCAAAGGAAAACTTGTATTTGTATACTATTTCTAAGACACGGTTTTAATTTTTACGCTGTAAAAATTCTCAGTCTGTACAGTGCATTTTCACCTCCTCCCTGTCGTAAACGATTCACGGTCCTGCTTCCATTTTTCATTAAATTTTGTCTCTTGCCCAGTATTTTCATCCTTTTATTGATGTTCTGCGCGCTCCTCCGGCATAGATTTTTTTTCCCCAGGTTTGGCACCTTTAGCGACACCATTTTGTATACATGCAACTTTGATAAAAGCTGGACAGTCAGACCGAACCGGAATAAAAAATCGTCAGACCTAATCAAAATTTATCAGACATGTTCGTCGGACCGATGTATTTCGGGAAGTCTGTTTTTCCCATTATGTGGGAAAACAAACTTATGATATTTTTTGTTTGTTTAAGGTAATTATTGCTGCTGAACTTCTGAAGAATGCAGATGAACTTGTGAAGCAAAAAATACACCCTACATCTATAATAAGTGGCTACAGACTTGCTTGCAAGTAAGAAATTTACACATTTATAATGTACATATTTATGTTGTTTAAATGTTGATTGTGATTGTATTTTATGTTGTTTTGTATATACTGAGGCCCGCATGGAAGATCGGGAACTGAATGTGTTAGTCTCATTAAAATAAAGTTGTTACTTACTTACTAACCTGAAGCCTGCTAGCAGCAACGAATTCTGTCAAAAGCAACTAGTGCAGACCAAGATCAGCCAACACATTTGTACTGTCCCATCATGGTCGGCACTGTTTGCTACTCAGTAATTGTATTGAAATTATTCCTTAACACGATGGATTTGTGCAGATTTAAAGTTAAACAAGTATATTTCAGCTATTGAGTGTGATAAGGGTTTAATGGTTGTTAAAAAAAATAACTTTTAGCTTTCATTTCAAAATTGATTATCTATCTGTTTTCTCTTAAAATGATAAAAATTAAAAAAAAAATGATGAAAAATTTAAATGTACAAATTAAACAAACAAAATAATATTTAAAGAACAAGTCGGAAGGTAATTTCATTGTAAATGATGGGAACTTGTATTGTATTAAAGTTTGAATATTGCTGATGTTTAAATTTGAATATTACACAATTTAATCACTGTTGTTTTACCTGGTTATGTTCTTTTTTTCCAGGGAAGCATGTAAATATATTCAGGAGCATTTGACATGTAATGTTGATGACCTTGGGAAGGAGAGTATTATTAACGCAGCCAAGACGAGTATGTCAAGTAAAATCATAGGACCGTATCCTTTCGAATAGTGCATATAAATATTTCTAATTTTTTAAAAAAAATATTAATTGATAAATGACTACTTTTAAAGCCTCTTGACAAGGGATTAAACGATGATCGAGTATAATCAAGAATTGAACGTTTATAGAACCGATTAGCGATGATCGAATACAAAGTTCAATAATCAATCATCGGTTATTTATCTTCTTGCTGTTACTAAAGTGACTCACTGTATTATAACAACACTTTAAATCAAAGCCAGCTTTGGTTTACCCAATAATTTTCATTAAAATGAAAGAGAAAGCATACTGGTGTCCATGAGGTTAATAGTTGACAGTGAGGCATTCTAGTTTACAGACATACTATGCTTCAAATTTAAATTAGAAAATTGCTACACAGTCTATTTGTAAATATGAAATAAACATGTTTTGACTTCATACAAAAAGAAGATATGTATAAAATTATTCTACACACTAAACTAAAGATGGTTACAATATAAATATATAGTGTCATTTAAAAAAACCTGGCAGTTTTGTTAAGAAATGACCAACTTCTCTTGTTCCATACATAGCTTATTCATTCCTTTTTTGGAATTGAGACATAATAATTTCGTAAGATATAATGAATTTATTTGATCAAAATATTTTACTCAAGGATGAACATAAGCAATGAGTAAACTAGTTTATTTCAGTTGATTAAGTGGTAGTTACACAAAATATAGAATATTAATGGAATTCTTATAAATATTAAAGCATGATATGTGCATTGTACATATTTACTTTGTTATCATAAATGTTTCGATTATATAATCGATGATTGATCGAAAAAGGTTGTTCGATTATTTTCGATGATAGATTATGATTTTTGTCCGATTAAGAAACCCTACTCTTGACCATGGACAAATAGTTATTTTGCCGCCTTTAAAAATATCTTTGTTTTCCAGCCAAGTTTGGGTAGGGTAGGTAGTTGGGTAAAATATTTATTAATTTATTAAATAAATTATGTATATCTAAGGTTTATATTTTGTGTGTTCGCGTGTGTGTAGCTGCAATTTTTGTGGGTTGGTAAAGATGGAAAATACAAAGATATATTGGCAGCGTGTTGCTGGACTTTCTTATTTCATGTTGTTTAGATCCCACCATAATTTTCCTACACAAGTGCCGTAAAATAATTGCACATTTGAGGGAGGGGGAGGTGGGGTTGTCTTGAGTTTCGATTTATCCGTCATAGTAGGAGTATTGCATGACTTTCAGAAAATTAGGGAGATAAAAAAATTATCACTGAGTCTTAATGATGATTGTAGCAGAATGAGACCATGTATTTTATGATTAAGTTTATATTGACACATTGCAACTTTAAAAACAACTATCATTTGTATCATGAAATTTCCAACATTCAATAGCCTTGTCTTTGTGAGCGTGCAATTTTCTCCACTATCAAAGTATATACACTTTTCGGGAATATAAGTATGGAAAAAAATTGCAAGATATCAATACTAATTTTATGATCTTATTGACCAAGATTGTCATGAAGCATGTTCGTCCGAAACAACGTATAACTATAAGAAAAATATCATATTTAAATGCTATTGCAACACAGGATAAAGATATCTAGGTATGTAGTTTATATTGATTATCTAAAATAAGCTTGAATAACATGTGATACTAACAATAGCCGCTCATTGTCAACTTGCCTAAAGGTGCTTTACTTAATCTTTTGGTATAAAAATATCACTGGGGGGAAATCGATAATTTAATCAATCCATCAATGTTGAAAAGATGTTTTCATGTATGTATAAAAACAAACAGTCCTTGGAATATATTAAATCAGTTGACTAAAGACAAGGCTATATTCCTTGTGATTTTGAGCGCCTTACAATCCGTAGGTTAAAGAGGATCTCTAAAAATAAAGGTGGGTAGAGATTGACTTTGCAGACGTTGTCAGGAGAGCGAGTTCCTTCTGTATAAGAGTTACAGTGCTCTCGTCTTAAGTGATGGGCTAATGCATTATTGGAGAAATTCTGCCACGTATGAATAGTATCATTAAAGAACCCTGGACCTTAGCATATCTTGTCCGAAGGCTCTTATTTGTATCACCAAGTATTAAATAATCGGTTTCTGATCAAAATTATACCCTAAAGATCAACATTTAAGGCTCATGGAAACGTTCCAAAACTTTGGTCTGTTTCAGATTTGTCCTGTTTAGCAACACTTGCCTCTATATCTAGTCCTGTCAAGTCTTCAAATCTATCCAATTCAGAGGATGTTGTCTTTTTTTACTAATTACAGGAGTGATTTTGTCATTCATGGCATCTGTTAGATTCGTTACCCCTAATTGATTTTTGGGGACAACAGGGTCAAAGGTCAAGGATCACATTGGACCTTGTTACCACGACTAAAAACGGTTTCCGATCAAAGGAACATATAAATGAGCCTAGCGATGAGTTGTCAATCTTGGTAATTAGTGGTGAATGAGTCTAAGGATCAATTAGATAGACCCTTCTATATTGATTTTGGGGTGTAGTGAAGGATCAAGGCAAATATTGTACTTTATTATTACAGGTTTCTATTGGACGCACATTACCTGCGAGCCTCTTAGAGACTGCAAATAATAAGGTAACCAATAAGGACCCTTAATTATCTGCTAATATCCTTGTGTACACGGGAACTGCAAATGTTATAAATTTACTGTGTCGCTTTAGAAGTGTTTGTCAGTTTTGGTATCTCTTATCCCGCTTTCTTTTAAAGGATATGATTGAAGTTATGATAGAGACACGGGGTTCTAATGATTGAATACAACCAAGGAGTTAGCTTTCGTTCAGAATATTACATACAGTTAACTCACGGAATACGAGACTAACTGGGCACCACTAACAATTAGTCGACCTTTAAAAAGACGTCCACAGAGTTTCTATGCATGCTATGAAATAAATCTACACATACATTGTGGCTGCTTCAAATAAAATATTAAACACAGTAGTTTTAAATGAAGAGTGGTAATAGTACTCTTACCCGTGCCTCTGTGGCAAAACAGCAGAAGACCCGGGTATATTTAAATAGAGCTAAACTATATGCGATTCTCAGACCATAAAATAGTGATCCAATTTATGGACTTCGAAAAAATGGATGTTATGAACTTCCCAAAAAATAAGTACATTGGTCCGTCACAAAGGTCTAAAAGTCACTACACGTGAACGACAATTAAAACAATTTGACGAGGCAATGTTTATTAAAGATCTGACTTGTATCTGCCAAGTTTTACAATTCATTCTAGGCCAAATGAAAGAAAGGAAAAAAAAGTAACAATAAATGGAGATTATTTCATTCGCGAAACTGTAAATTTCATAGAGACTGAACAAAGCAAGTATAATAATATTTAAAAAATGGTTATATTAATGTTTTTATTTTGTTTAACAGTCAATAAAAAATGCATACTTGATATAAGGTTTGAAGCAATGTATACTAAATGTAAAGAGAATAAACCTAGACAATATATATGAGGAGTACTATACTTACTTGAAGTTATATAAAATAGAAATATACGGACCCTCATATTTTTCTCTGGGATCAACACACAGATACATATTTTATGAGCACGAGTCCATGGGTACACTAACTATAAATATAAATAAATTCTCTAAGTAGAAACCCTGTTCTTAAGGTAAAAACGGTTTCAGATCTAATACAAATACTAAGATACTCCTTAGGTTGCTAGGAAATTAGCAAACTTGGTATGGCTGATGTGGTCATGAGTCAGTCTAAGATGTACCTCCTATTGATTTTGCGGGGTCATATAGGTCAAGGTCACATTGGAGACTTGTATGTGTTATAAAACGGTTGTCTCGGTCAATATATCTGAAAGACTCTATATGGTCCCTGAGGGAACTTCAAACTTGGTAATGGTGATTTTTCTGGTCATTGACCAGGCAGGAGTGACGTATTTTATTTTGGGGTCAAGGGGTCAATAGGTCAAGGTTCACATTGACATTGTTAGGTAAGATTAACTGTTGCTGAATGAGAGTTAACTTAAACAATGCTAGTACCAGTAGAGAATACTATACAACTATGTATGATTGAATAATGTTCTGATTTCACAGCAGAGTTACCTCTCTACTTGATCGTTTTTAGAGCATCGTTCAATGTGCGAGTCAAAGCGTTAATGTCCTGACCAGTAATATCTTGTATTGAGAGCACCTTCTTCATAAATTGTTTATGAATCACTTGGTCAGATTTTATTCAGTGGACTATAATCAACATCGCTCTAATTCTAACAAGTACAATTCGGCGCTGCTGAATCCTAGTGGGCGAAATTGCGCAAGATAATTATCACAAACATAATCTTGGTTAATATTCTAATAAATTGGATTCTGAACCAAAAACTGAAATATAATGTTCTCATTAAAAGAAATGATTACCATCTTTAGTAGAGTTCTAGGAACAGTTGTGATTGAGTCTGTGGTCAACGAAGGTCAATCATCAGAGAATTCGGCCATAGAGAATATTTTACATGAGTATCTTATATATGGCCATGATAAAACAATACACATTTGGTAGTCTCATTGCCAAAACACACATCATAAATTTTGTTATGGTCACTCACTCCTGCCCCATGTAATGGCCGCGGTATAATAGAGTGAATCACACCTTCAGTTGGCAGAAGGGTTGATGATGATGCGACCTGTAATCCAACCTATCGTAATTCCGTCAGTATCTGAATTTCACTCTCATCTATCAGTTTCACGATACAATTATATCTAAGTAAAACGTTTAGCACATGATTCAGACTATTCAAATTATAACAATATACATGAATATACATGAGAAACACAACAGGTTCAAACGTTTCGGGAATTTCGAGCATTGGGTTCTAGATGATTTTTGAGGAGAGTTTTATCCCTTTTACACTTTGAATAAATATAATATGAAATTATTCAAGCTTCCGTTTCATCTAATCCCCAACGAGTACAGATCACACAACACAAATCAAATTCTGACATATGATAAACTGGAGAAA